ATTTGAAAGATTTTGTATAGAGATAGAAAAATATGGAAGTCTTGTTTCCTGACTATCCTTTCGAGCTCCTCATGTCTAATCTAAGTGGGTCAATTTCTTCTATAATTTCATTGGACGAACATCTAGAGCTACCAACTTGGCGTCTTTTGAATGAGACCTATGCCTCGGTTACGAACCAACGCAGGCGGTTTAAGAAGAGGAAGTGGCTATTCTCACCCGGGGTGAGAATAGAAATACGATCGACCTCTCACCCCGGGTGAGACTTGCCACCGTAGGCTATTCTCACCCAGTTTGAAACAAGACCTGTTTTTCCTAATTTAGGAATACTTTCCATCGATGTGGATGATCAAATGGATAAAGGCAAAGGAAAGATTACGTTATAGCACAAAAGTAAGCAAATTTTATCGACTACATAGATGCTATGGCTATTTCACTTTTCGAATCGAGCCGAACTACGGGGGTCGCCATTTTGTTTTGCCCGGAAGTTCTCGCAAGATCTACTCCTCCCCTCTTCTCTCTCTCTGTCTCTTTCTGAATACTGTCTATCGGTGTGGACGATCAAATTGACCAAAACAAAGTTTAAAAATTATGTTAAAACACAAAAGTAAATTAATTTGGTCGTCTACAAAGATGCTACGGCTATTTAACTTTTCGAATCGAGCCGAACTACGCGGGTCGCCATTTTGTTTTGCCCGGAAGTTCTCGCGTTACTCCTCTCTCTCTCTCTTTCTCTCTCTCTCCACTGCACAAAGACAAAATTGTACGCTTTTAGTAGTAATGGAACATTTGTTCATGGCACAAAATTCTACAATTTTTGTATTTTTTCTGTTATCACAGTGCAGAACTCTGTGGTTTAGGGTGAACGCAAAATAGACCTCTTCATGGTAATGTCCGCCATACTGTCCAGGGGTACTCAGGGTTACTTCCGGTCTGCAATGCTCCTTTGTTTACATTGTCAACAGCCTTGGGCAGTTGGCACATGGACACTAAATCGGCGCCTAAATTCAATCTAACGTCTAGATCTAATCAAACGTACGCACAATCTCATTTTAGTATCAGTTGTTATGCATGAGAAACGCAAAAACTGCCTTGAAAGTGTGTTGTTTGCCTTTGAAAGTGTGTTTTGTCAGCTGCCCTCTTTGCCTCACGCAGGCCAAGATCTACTAATCATGTGACTGTACTGTGTGTTTTTATAGTGTAATTTTGTGAAATGGAATTGGCATTCGTTATTATTTTTTTAGACTAACAGTGAGGAAATCATTGTTTTGTGGAATCTACATTTCTGGTAATTTAATAGATCTAGATCTAGCGATATACCATCATGTAGGACTAATCTTTCTTAGTTCTATAGATTTTTCTTTCATTGAATTTTAGATTTTAAACTAGATATAGATCTAGATTCTAGAAACATTAGTCTAGTAGCAAGATGGGGAAGTACGACCATTGTTGTGTTGGTTCATGCAGTAACACAAGAAGTAGACCCCAATTGATTAAAAAGAGATTCCATGTGACTGAAATGCAATGGTTTGGAGTTTCAAACGAGGAGAAAAGGAAATTATGGGAGAGGCAGATACAGAAAGGACGAGCAGACTTCAAAATGACAATTACAATGAAAGTGTGCTCTAATCACTTCACAGAAGGGCGTCCCACACCATCAAACCGGATGTAAACAGAGATGCACGGGTGTAACCCTCAATACCCCTGAGCAAGATGGCGCACCTTACCGTGAAATTATCTATTGGTTGGCCTAGATCTAGGCTATAATGGTGAACGCGCACCGGGTGAGAATAGCCAAAAGAATCGCCTGCACTATTCTCACCCTGGGTGAGAATAGAGGTGGCCTTAAGAAGAAGGCCACAAAAACTACAAACACACACAAACTCAAGCAGAATAACGCACACACACTTGAGCTACGTGAATGTGGATCCGACTCGGGACCTGAAATCAAAGGGAGATGGTGCTCGGCGCGCGTGCACTGAGCCAGGGGCTAGACTGACGCAGGACCAGACGCACGCGAGGTGCCGAAATAGGCTTATCGGGTGACATAAACCTGGCCCTCGCAGGACGAGGGACAGAAGAAGAGATAGGTTTCCGTTATTGCCGTTCTTGTCCTGCGTCTGCGCGGAGATGAGAATCTTATCAGCAACCAATTGCGGCGGACGGCTGGATTGTACTTTACCGGACCACCCGTCTCGGCCCGTGATTACTACGCACGCCTAGCCTAACTACGCACTCATAGTACTCTGCGTGCGGACAAAAGGTAGTTCCGCGGGCGACTTCGCGCACGCACAGCGAAGTCAGCGGCGACTGGCGAGGCGAGGTGAGCGAGAGGTGGTGGTGGTTGAGAGTGGGCAGGGGATTTAACTTTGGTGGACCACCGTGTATCATACCAACAGTGGGGTGGGGGGGTTCAGGGGGGCTTGCCCCCCTGGAAACTATAATAAAGAAAACACACAAAAATGCGAAACAATAACATGAGCGGACAGTCGTGTTTACATATCAATGGGGGGGTTTCAGGGGGGCTAGCCCCCCTGGCAACAATAATTTAAAGACACTCACACACACACATATAAACAATAGCATGATAAGTCGCGAGCAGGGTCAATGGGGTTGCAATTATGCAAATGAGCTCTCGTGCCCATCTCTAGCCCTCCATTGTTATATCATTGTACTTTGCCGGACCAGGAGTAGGCCTAGGGCCTAGGCCAAGCCAGCAGAGTCGCGAGCAAATAAGAATAGTGGACCACGTGATTAGATTGACCAATTAGCCTCAAGGTGTCAGGGTCATGGGTCAAAGGGCACAGTGGCACGGTCGTGATGACTGAAAAACCCGGTAAGAGACGGCAGTCGATTGCTGGCAGTTGAAGAGTGAGGACGTAGAAAACTGAGTAGGAGAGTGAGTAGGGGAGCTCGGAAACGAAGAACAGCGGGCCACTAGGCACCAGGGGCGCCACAGCGAAAGTAGTTCCGACCGGTGGTCCGGTAAAGTACAATCTTACCCGGCGGACATTCCGGGCAGGCCGCCGGGGTCACTCAGTGTGTACTGTTGGTGTACAGCACGCGCGCCAGGAAACGTGTGGGAAAATCCTGAATCCCAACCAAACTGACCAGTCAGTCTGCTGGTCCAATCTTCAATCTTATTTTCTTACCGACACACACTTGACCTGCGAGGATGGGGATCCGACACGGGACCCGAATTGAACGTGAAATGACGCTCGACGCGCATGTGCTGAGCCTGAGCCAGGGGCTAGACTGACTGACTCGGACTCGGGCTTGGGACCAGAATGTAGGCTAATGTAGCCTGTAGGCGAG